CCCTCAACCGCTTTCTATCTAAATCGGCGGAGAAGTCTCTACCCTTCTTCCAGATCATGAGGAAGACGGCTGGCTTTCTATGGACTCCAGAATGCCAGGGGGCTTTCGACGAACTCAAACGATATCTATCTTCACCTCCTGTGCTCTCCAAACCCAAGGTAGGGGAGACCCTCTACCTCTACCTTGGGGTTAGCCCGGCGGCCATCATCTCTGTGCTCATCCGGGAGGAAGACGGCATCCAACATGCCATCTTCTACGTTAGCAAGACCCTAAGGGAGGCCGAGCTCAGGTACTCCCCTGTGGAAAAACGATGTTAGCCATCGTTTGGACTGTCAAGAAGTTGGGCCACTACTTTCAGGCTCACCCGGTTCAGGTCCTCACCCATCAACCCCTCGGCGCCCTCATGAGGAGCCCCACCAGCTCCTCCCGCATGGTGAAATGGGCTATCTTCTTGAGCCAGTACAACATTGACATCCGTCCAAGGCCTGCCATCAAGGGCCAAGCCCTGGCGGACTTTGTGACGGAATGTACCGCAAAGGCAGCCACGGACGGGGAGCCCTCGGCTACCTCGGACGACTGGTGGACCCTCTACACTGATGGCTCCTCCGCGACCAAAGCATGCGGGGGAGGGGTAGTCCTCATTACTCCCGAGGGCTTCAGGGCCTACTATGCAATCCGCTTCTCCTTCAAGGTCTCCAACAATGAGGCCGAATATGAGGCCCTCCTATGTGGCCTTCGGCTGGCTGCCAACATGAGGGCTCGGCAGATCCACATCAAATGCGACTCCAAGTTGGTCGTTGGCCAAATCTCCGAAGAATATGAGGCCAAGGAGGGGAGAATGAAACAGTACAAGGAAGCGGCCAAGGAGTTGCTTAAGGTATTTGAGGCACACTCTCTCACTCAAATACCGATGGCTCAGAACTCCGAGGCCGACATATTATCTAAGCTCTCGGCCGACTCCCCCGAGCACATCTCCAAAATTGCCAAAATCGAGGAACTCAGCCTCTCAAGCATCCACGCAAGCCCCGTCATGAACATACAACAACGTCAGGAGGATTGGATCTCGGATATCATCGCCTTCATCTCCACAGGGCAGCTACCCGAGAATGAGGCCCACGCTAAACTGGCAAAGCTGAGGGCTCCTAGCTACACCATCGAAGATGGGAGGCTCTACAAACGATCTTACAATGGCACGCTACTTCGGTGCCTTCATCCAGATGAAGCCGAGGTCGCAATGGAGGAAGTGCACAGTGGCACTTGCTCAGCTCACCAGGGACCCTTCTCCATGTCCCGAAGGCTCATTCTCCAGGGCTACTTCTGGCCGACCATGGCCAGAGATTGTGCTGACCTTGCCCGGAGGTGCACCGCATGTCAACATTTCCAGAAAGCCCCCGGCAGGCCAGCGGTCAACTATGCCCCCATCAGCACATCTGTCCCTTTTTCTCGATGGGGGATAGACCTTGTGGGCCCTCTGTCGAGGGGTACCTCCAACAACAGGTACATCATTGTGGCCGTCGACTACTTTACCAAGTGGGTGGAGGCTGAACCCCTCGCCAGCATCACAGAGGCGAAGTGCCGTCATTTCGTCCTCAAGAACATCCTCACAAGGTTTGGCGTCCCCCAGCAGATCATCTCCGACAATGGGACACAATTTGAGGCAGCCCCCTTCTGTGCCCTTCTGGAGGCATGGGGCATCAAACACACCTTCTCCTCCGTTGCCTACCCTCAAGGCAACGGGCAAGTAGAGAATGCCAACCGGACCTTGCTCGAGGGCCTCAAAAAGAAGCTGGAGGCCGAGGGCGGTGGCTGGGTAGAAGAACTCCACAACATCCTGTGGGCCTACCGCACCACCCCTCGGCGAGCAACAGGTGAAACACCCTTCTCCCTCTGCTACGGTTTTGAAGCCAAAGCTCCTACGGAAGTCACCCTTCCCACCCGAAGGGTGATCCAGTATGACCCCGAGGTCAACGACAGCAACATGGCCCTCGACCTCCACCTCATTTCAGAACGCCGGGAGTAGGCCTTCATCCGGGCAGAAAACTACCGAAGGCAAGTCAAAAGCTACATCAACGCCAAAGTTCGCACCAGAGAATTCCAAGTGGGGGACTATGTCCTCCGGAGGAGGGAAGCCAGCCAACCAACCGAGGGAGGAAAAATGGCACCAAAATTCGAAGGCCCCTACATCATAGCGGCCATCATCAAACCCGGGACTTACAAACTCAAACGCCCCAACGGGAAAGAGGTCCCTAGGCACTGGAATGTACACCACTTAGTTAGATTTTATCAATAATGTAAGAGCGGCCAAGCCCTCATAACTAGTGAATGTACTATCCTATGGCCCGGGGCCTCCAATATAGAATGAAGATACATTCAAGACATCAAGCCCTCGTACTGACTACAGGCCCCAGGCCTCGCCACGAGAAGAACCCCCTCCGGCACCAAGTGCCGAGGGCTGACACCATCAACACCTACAACAACAGTGAAAACACCACGTGTTTTCACTCAAGACCCCTCGGTACCAAGTGCCGAGGGAGGGAACTCCTATCACCAACAACAAAGAACGCCGTGTAATTCATTTCCCTTCGGCACCCAGTGTCGAGGGTACATCCCCACCTTCAACATCAAAAAAGAAAAAGATGAAAACACCAAGTGTTCCTACAGAAGACCCTTCGGCACCCAGTGCCGAGGGTACACCTCCATCATCAAACATCATCAAAGAAGACCCCTCGGTACCCAGTGCCAGGGATATGCTCTCCTATCAACTTCCAAACATCTGTTGGGAAACACCAAGTGTTTCATTTGAAGACCCTTCGGTACCAAGTACCGAGGGTAGACATCTCCATCAACTACAGCAAAAGGGAACACCAAGTGTTCCTACAGAAGACCCCTAGGTGCCAAGTACCGGGGGCTACACATCGAAACTAACACCAAGTGTTGTTTCTAAAAGCCGTACCCCACGAGGACGCATATACCGAAGGCGCCACCATCGGTGCCGGCGGCACGTAGTGCCCCCGGCCATTTGCAACTAGTGTGCAAATGAAAACCCTTCCTTGAAACGCTTTCCGCGTCACTACCCCCAGGGTATGACAGGCATGAGAAATGCCCAGGATTCGACTTTCAAAAACGGAACGCTATCCGCGTCACTACCCCCAGGGTATGACAGGCATGAGAAATGCCCAGGATTCGACTTCCAAACCGAAACGCTCCCCACGCCACCACCTCAAGGGTGTGGCAGGCCACGGACTATGTCTAATGCCGAGGGGACGACTTTCAAAAATGAGGCGCTTTCCGCGCCATCCCCCAAGGGGAGGCAGGTTACGGACCACCATATCTTGTGCCCAGGAAACGACCCTCGATCCCCTCGGAACTCGGAAGGTTAACCCGAGGGAGGAGAGCCATTGGTGTATTCTGATGGTCTCCTAATAGGCCCAGCCTTACCAAGAAACCAAGTTTCTTGATGCCTTCCCTTCACCACCAACCAAAAAAAAAAAAAAAAGAAGAGAGGGTGTGAAGGGGAGTAGACTCAGCGAGAAATCAAAGAGTACACTCCAACAAGATCACAACATGCCGAGGGCTCCCCACGGGAACACCTCCGGTAATTGAAGACTCCTATTTCTCGGAGGATACTACTCATGGAAATATCATCAGGAAACGGCTAAGTCCACTACCTGGTCACCTCCGGTCACTAAAACACCGAAGGCTTCAACAATACAAAGGGACTGGACTATCCAAGGTCCACTAAACGGTACTTCAAACCAACACCGAAGGCATCTGTTATGCACAAATACCGAGGGCCCTTTCCCCATGACAAGGGTCAAATTCTACAACTTTTATAGTGTATGCCGAGGGCACACACTCCTCATTGGCTTTCTTCACAACAACAGGATTCAACATCAATTTATGCTTAGAAAAAATTCTAAGTCCTGAAGGAGCAGCCCCCGGGCATCTCGCAAAGTAATGTAAAGTCAGAAGGCACCTATCACCCGAAGGCTACACGGGGAAGCAACACTTGAAAAAATTCTAAGTCCTAAAGATTGGGCCCCCGGCCCAATCCATATTACAGCCAAGGGAATATGGTGGCCGAAGGCCATGCAATACAACAACACTTTAAAAAAAGGTATTCTGTCCTAAATGAGTAGCCCCCGGGCATCTCGCAAAGTGATGTAGAGTCAGAGGGCACCTATCACCCGAAGGCTCCCAAAGGGAAAATCTACACTTGGAATATTTTCTAAGTCCTACATATTTTCCCCTCGGTCAACTACTCATGCATCAAGAAGGGATGCCATCTCCCGAAGGCTCCCAAGGGAAAATCTACACTTAGAAATCTTCCTAAGTCCTACACATTTCACCCTCATCTTATAAAGGGACCTAATAGCCGAAGGCTACCTGTCAATCGAGGGCTACAGTGCACAAGGAATCGACCCTCAAGAAAATTTTCTAAGTCCTTAAGAATTGGCCCCCGGCCTATTCAATATTTCAGTTGGGGGCTCCCTAGTAGCCGAAGGCTACGTGACATACTACACTTGCAAGAAATTTCTAAGTCCTGTACATTGGGCCCTCGGTCCAACATTCACACATCAGGAAGAGATGCCATGTCCCGAAGGACCTCAAGGGGAAATCTACACTTAGAAATTTTTCTAAGTCCTAGGATTTGGGTTGCTGCAAACGCCCGAAGGCCCCATGCTGTGCTACACTTAGAAAAATTTTCTAAGTCCTAATTCCTACTAAACCCTCGGTTGCATATCCAGCAGAGGGTGCCCAACTACCGAAGGCTTCCAAGGGCAAGCTACAGTCAGAAAATATTCTAAGTCCTAAGACATACATTCAAAAAAGGAGAAGGCATGCATCCAAAACAAGGCGAAGGCATATATTCGACGATGAACAAATCAAAAGGAATCGTATCATATACACAAAGCCCGAAGGCAATCATTCAATTACAACAAAAAGAGTCAATGTAATCATTACAGACAGGCCGAAGCCGAAGGATCAAAGTTATTCATTACAAAATGTGTTCAGGGATTTCTAAGCGCCTATTACACATCAACAGCATCGTTCCCGGGGGCACCCTCCCCCGGTGGCTTCGAGGTAACCTCCGTCCCGGTGGTGTCCTCGGCATCATCATCAACGCCCATCATCATGGAATCATGAATCACCGGGCGCTCTTCTCCCTCGGGGAGGGGGACCCGAACATCTGGCTGCAACGGGGGGAGGCCGTACACTGAGGGGTTGAACTCATCCAGGGAGGTACCAAAATGCCGGGCGAGCCTCCGGTAAACCAGGTGCTGGGTGAAGAACTCGCCAGCTTGATAGTAGGTGTCGCCCCTCTCATTCATCCAGTCGAGCCCGGGGCCCCTCACCCACTCCTCGATCGAGGCCTTCACCACAGAGGCCACCCACTCGCTCTGGCCCTCGGCCTTCCATCCCTCGGAGGTGAACCCAGCAATGGCCTCTTCTCGGGCTTTTGCGGCAGCTTCAGCTTTGGCCTTCTCGGCGTCCTCGGCAGCTTGTTTTCTCTCCTCGGCCGCAACCCTCTCGGCCTCAGCCCTGCCCTCGGCCTTCCCATCTTCTCTGGCCTCCTTCAGCCGCAGCTCCGCTTGCCGAAGGGCATCCTCCAACTTGCACACCTCCCGGAGGGCAGCGTCCTTGTCGCGAATCAGCTCCTCCACAGACCTCTCTAGCTCGGCCTTATGACGGCACCACTCCTCTCGCCTTCGGGCCTGCTCGCCGAAGGTTATGCACGCCTGTTGAATAACGGACAGAGGGGTCAGACGGACATTGGGATTATGATAAATATTGAGATCAAGTCAAAGTAAGAACACTTACAGTCAGAGCTGATCGAAGGGCCCTGGCTTCGAGGGCGTCATCGTTATAGGTGGAGAGGGCTTCTTTGTCCATCATCGAGGTAATCCCCCTCAGGAAAGACATCGGCTCGGCTGAACCGTGCAATACGGATGCCCCGGAGCGAGGGAGAGCCGAATAATCTCCCGAGGCATCTTCCCCGAGGGAAGGTCTGTCTGAGCCATCGGAGTATCAACAGCCGGGGGGTCAGCAGAGGGCTGATCATCGAGTATTATGAGGGGGGCCGCCTTCTCAACGGCATCCCCGGCAACCTTCTGCTTCTTGATCGGGGGCTCCACCCCCTTGTCCCCCTTTTTCTTCTTGGCTGCCACATCAGCCTTCGGCCCCCCGGCCGCAGTAACAGGAGCAGCAGCAACTGAAGGCTCTGCGGTCTCCTTCGGGAAAACCTCATCAATGGGCTTTTGACCCGAGGGCTCCGTCTTCTCCTTCTTCTGGGCTTGCGCCCTCTCCTTCTTCTTTTTCATTGCGAAGAGAGCCTCCATACCTGCAAAACAAAGCGAAGAGAATATTAACCCGAAGGGTACATACCAAAATCAACTATCGGGATGCAAAATGAAAGTGCCTAAGTAGGAGACTAAGGGCCCTCGTAGCCATCCTCCTGCCCCCCGAAGGCCTCAGTGAAGACAGGATACTTCTCATCTATTTCCCCGATGAACCGGTACCGTTGGAACCCGAGGGCATGCAAGTCTTCCTCAAGAGTGCACTCTTTGATCGTCACGACCTTCTTCTTGCCCTCCGGGATCTTGGCGAGTTTCAGGCCATCCCTCTCTAGGGCGGCACTCCCCACCCTCTCGTGGCGCCGAAAGCGGTCCCGTAGCTCCCTCGGGAAGGGATTCTCGGACAACCGGACGTAGCACCATCTATCTTTCCAGCCCTTGTTGGAAGAGGGCGCCTCGGTAAACAGCTTGAACTTCGCTACCTGCTGCAAATTAGCGAAGCCCTCGGCATTCGCATGCCCCCCCCCCCCCCCCGGCACAAGTTGAAGCTTTGGAAAAAGAGGTCCAAGCTTGGGGTAACATCCCTCGTCCGGCACAGGTGCAGAAAGCCGGCAATGTATGAATGGCTATTAGGGGTAAGTTGGCAGGGGATGAGTCCAACAAACCGGAGGTACTCCCGGAGAAATGGATGCAGGGGGAACCGGAGGCCCATGGACACTGACAGGATGTGGACGGCAATGCATCCCTCCGGAGGCCGGGACAGCAGATCATCGACGCTTGGCTCCACCACTACGGCCGAGGGCCCAACGTCCAGCTGCGTGACGTACAAGTCAGCCCTGTCCGCCTTCGACTTAATATCGAGGGCCTCGGTGTTTAGCCAGGTATACCCCTCTGGCATTTCAACAGGCCCCCCAGCACCAGCGGCAACACTCTTCTTCTTAGGGGCAGCCCTCTGCGACTTTGTCTTCTTTTTACCGGGGGCTATCCTCAGAGGCGTCGAGTCCAACGGCCTGGAGGTACTAGGCTCACCACAGTCAGTCCGAGGGGGTGGCACAGCAACAGTAACCATCATCGCCTCCTTTTGGGCTTCGTCCTCCGCCACCTGACACGCGATGGCTAGTTCTTCATCTTCGCACTCCTGTTCGAAGCCCTCAGCTTCCACCTCAGCAGGAAGGGCCTTCTGCAACTCCAAGGCCACGGCTCCGTCATCAGCCGAGGGCGCGCTGCTGCTTGACTCGACATCGGAAGCAACCTCATCCTCAACCGAGGGCTCCCTCGATATATTTTGGGAATCGCTCTCGGACGACATTCTTTGCCACAAAATGTGCCTAAGGTTTCGAAGGATTTGTACGGAACCCTAACCCTAAACTAAGGCCAGAGGGTGGAGCTTACAAAAAGTGCTGAGGAGCGAAGGGAGAACTAACCTCTGAAAGTGCTGTGACCGAGGGCTTGAGTTTCTCTCTCTAGAATTTTTGGCAAAGCTTCGCTAAAGATTTTTGGACGCGTAAGGGAGAAATGGCTCTGGCTCCGGGGTATTTATTAGGGCTGGACTCGGTTCGGGTACCGAACCGATTAAGGTCAACCCGAAACCGAACCGATATTTCGGTTATCCAAATAATCATAACCGAAACCGAACCGTTCAGGAACGGGTACCAAATAATCGGAAACTGATAATTCGGTTCGGTTTACCAAAAACCGAAAAAATAACCGACTTTCATTAAATAAACAAAATATTTGAACTTTTCAATACACTAGGCCCAAGTTTTTAGAAGCTCAAGCCCAATTTTACTTTGCCCAACATTCTCAAGGAGTATGTTTGGAGTTGCACGGTCAGTCGAATCAGTAGACATGCCAATATATAGCTGCTATTGAGGAGGAAGTTTTCTATTTCTCCGGTGTGGGATAAGGAGCTGTGGAAACAAAATGGAAACTGAACCATTGAAAAAAAGTAAAGCAACCCAGGGATTCGAACACGGGTCGTCTGTGGTAACAATTCGCTTGGCAACCATCTTGCTGCGGAACTTTGTTGCTTTCCTTAGGACTGAATTTCATTTTATATACATTAAATAAAGGTAATTAACTATAAATTTCTTATAATTATTATTAATAAAATTTCGGTTCGGTTCGGTTCAAACCGACATATTAGAACTATAAACCGATTCCGAACCATTTTTTTTTCGGGTCCCAATTTTCGGGTCCCAAATTATATCGGTTCGGTTCGGTTCGGTTTTTTTTCAAAACGGTTCGGTTTTTTTCGGTTCGGTTTTCGGTTTTTCGGTCCAAAATGCCAGCCCTAGTATTTATAGACCCCAGAGTCCGGGCTTGGGCCCGAAAACTGGGCCTCCGGATGGACGCCATCATTACACACCGCGTCTTAGCCCAACCGGTGACGCCGCCCACGGACAGCCAGCCATCACACGCCACGTGTGCCCCCCCCCCCCCAACGGCTATATCCTGTCGTTACATATTCCAACGGCTATATTTCCAACGGCTATATTCTGGAAGCCCCCGGGTTTTCTACTTCACTCCTCTTCGTCAAGGGAAGCCTCCGGGTACACCTACCCAGAGATGCCCCCGGGTTGTGCCACACAGCACATGACAGACGCCTTCGGGACCACTCCCTCAGAAACCCAGGGCTTCATATCAGGGCACCCCTCGGGGTTTCCCCCTCAGCACTGCAAAACCGGGTAGCCCCTGGGGAGTGCCTCATTAACGTATGGCCCCTGGCACACAGGTAAATGGAGCCCTCGGGTATCTTCATCACCAACTAATCAACAAACAGTGGACCCCCCCGGTAACAACTTCACTGCTGCCCTCATCTGGCAGGCCCTCGATCCCTGGATTGAGGGGCTCCCCTTCGGCACCACCAGGACATCAACAACAAGCCTTCGGCTAATCAACACAGGAGCCCTCAGAAGAGAGAGCCTTCGGCATTCCCGCCATTCTCCATTTTTTACCAAGGTTTGACATTTTCGATTCATCATTGGGGGAATTCGGTGCACTCTTTTTCCCTCATTAGGATTTTTTCCCCCAGGGTTTTTCCTAATGAGGTTTTTAACGAGGCATCCCCCCAAAATGAAACGAAAAGCGTCAGCCTTCGGCCCACAACAGCAACGCAACTACTCTACTCCTTTTCACCACTTTACAAGTGCCTCAAGGAGTGGGGGACTGGAGGACCCCCTCGGGAAAATCATTAAAATTACAAAAGATGTAGAAATTCCAACAAACAACAAAGCAAGCCCTCAAGTCCCGACATGTGGGTAACTGAGGGACTGCCTTCGGCAGGGACATAAAAGCAACAACTCCTCACCAACTTCAGAGATCACGACGGGACAACATCGAGGGACAATCACAAATTACTCCTTTTCCCTCAAGTACCTTTCGGCAAAAGGAGTGAGGGACTCCTGATGGAGTATATGGCCCGGGAACCCCCGGCCCACAGACTCCTACTACTCCAGCGAAGGCCCAAAAGGCCCAAAAGGCCCAACAGGCCCAAATCACAGCGCCCAGAGTACCAAGCAGTCCGCACTACGCGCCAGGGGTGCCTTCGGCCCCCTGGCCGAAGGCTCCAAATCCTCACAGAACGGGTTTCTCAATCAAATTAAGGAACTGGGAGAAAACGGCGAAAACAGTAGCCCTCGGCATTGTGAGCCCTCGGCACCAGGGTGCCATCGGGTGGAAGAGCCCTCGGCTACTGCTCTATAGCCGAAGGCATCTCACTCGACAAGATATCCGCCTCACATGCGTACAGATCACGTACCCCGCGCAGACGTCCCATCCAACAGCCGCATTAAATGCGGCCACATGCGGCTGCCAGCGCCAACCAGTTGAGGTGACCCCTCGGCCAATGAGCGCTTGACACGTGTCCCTGCCCGGCATTTATTGCTACTATAAATAGCACCCCATTTCCTCATTTGTAACCACGCTGAAAACGGCATTCATACGGAATACACTCTCTCTCTACTTTTACTTACTTGCTCTGACTTCTCTCTAAGTTATTTCCCGTAATAACCCTTCGGATATATACCCTCGGGTAGACTATCCATCACTGGTCTATAAATTATGAAGGATGATGATGTATTTATACTAGTTCTAAACTAGTTTCTCATTCACAATGAAAATCTTTCTCATTAATAAGTTCTAGTCCTAACAGGACTAATGCTTATTAATGATTTAATCAATTAAATAAAACAAATAATAAACTATAATAATACTAAGGAAGGAGAGGGGCTGCACACGCCACCTCCCTTCTCTTATTATTATTATTATTATTATTTATTATTCATTTCTTTTAATTCAAAATCAAAAGAAAAAGCCATTTTTATTTAATTAAAAATACATCTTAATTAAGTATAATAAATATAATTTATTTTACTTAATTAATTCTATCAAATAGAACTCTCCTTCAACTTAATGAATTAAATATGTTTAATCTAATTAATATTTAATCTATATCCAGTATTACGAATTAAATATTATTTAATCCAGTTAATATTTAATTCCTTCTAACAATTCAATCGGAAGGTATAATCACTTGTTGTGTGACCCATAGGGCCTTATATATTAAGCATTAATCAAATTAAGGTCTCAGTGAATCCCTAGACGATTCTCCAGACAAACTTAATATATAAGGACGTTTGCGAGGACTATTTAAACTCCCTGTAATATAGAGTTCATAGTGATACGGTCCTTTCATTCAGCGAACATTCAACTAAGTCTAGATCATGATATTGTGTCTATTCCAATAACTTAGTTTCTGTCTCTCAATCTTTCTAGATGATCCATAACGATCATATTCGTTATCCAAAATGAATATATCTTTGCATTGGACAATGACTTTATGATCCATCTAGATATGAGAAGTAGAATGTTCTCTCTTAATCTATTATGAGGAATGAATCCTTTCTTGGCTCAACTACTACTCCATGTGCTTCGTGATGCACCCAACGCATGTCGTATCTACCCCGATTGGAGTGCAAGCGTTGGTCATGGTCAAAGTACATCACTCCGCACATGTAGTACGTATTGACCTCAAGTCTGAGGTAGAACGATTACACTACTCTATACGCTTATAATCCCATAGACACATGAATAGAACTTATCAAATGGTTTCTCGGTGGGTATGCCAATATTCTCTAAAATATCTATGTGACCATCATGAATTACAAGAACTCATAGTTGTGAGATAAACTATACTTTCTAAAAGTATGATCAAGTCCACATACCAATCTTATCGCATATCATCAATATCCCTTTCTTAATGATCATTGATCGGGGCTATTTTAGGACCTTATGTTATATCATATAAGCTCTCACTTACTTATTGACAACATAAGTCCAAGGGAACACAATTATGAATAAGACATTGGCAATCGAAATGTTTAATCATCAATGTGTAATACCGTATATATCAAATATATAAAACTAAATGTGATCAAGTACATACATCTCTAAAAAGTGATTGTCACTAGGACATATATACTAACATTCTCCCCAGTCCTTGGCATGAGTGCGCTGAGGACGGTGGGGTTCTGGGCCAGGCTGGCGATGATGGCCGAGAGAGCGGCTTGGAGCTGAGGGTCAACGGCAGGAGAAGCCGGTTGCCCAGAGACGTTGTCACCCTTTTCTGCGCACTTCTTGTCCAAGCTGATGCGGGCTTCTGGGGCGACGCCGTTAAGCTTGTTGCGCAGGTTAGTGGTGAGGCTGATGGCTTCCTGGAAGACATCCTCGACGGGAGCCTTGTCGGCCGTAGCATCCTCCTCGTGTTCTCGGTTCTCTTGGGCCTCAGGGATGGCCTTGCTGAGGAGGTTACGGTTGGACTTAGTTCTTCCCATGATCAGTTAGCTTTGCTTGGTAGCAACGAATGATGCTAACTTGATTGTTCTAGCTCTCAACGAGAGCACCAAATGATGGAGTATTAACTCCTAGATTCTAGAGAGAAGGGTGAGCTAGAGAGAGAAGTGAATTGTATTAATGAATTTTGTGAACCCTTACAACTACTCCCAGGGGGAGTATTTATAGAGAAAATTAGGGCTGGGCTCCCAAGTCTTGGGCTTGGGAGGCCCATTTACAACAGGGCCACTAATGGGCCGGATACAAAGTGTATAGAAATGATAAGTATAAAATTCTGTTCTAGAGGCTATCTATGGTCGACGAGGGCATGGCCGATGAGGGCATAGCCGACGAGGTCACCCGGTTCTCCTGACTTCTGGATCATATTCTGGGTGGTCTTCTTTCTGGCCGATGAGAGCATGGCCGATGAGGGCACCCGGTTCTCCGGGCTTCTGGATCATATTCTGAGTAGCCCTTTTTCTGGCCGATGAGGGCATGGCCGATCAGAGCATGGTCGATGAGGGCATGGCCGACGAGGTCATCCGGTCGACGGGGGTCCCCCCAGGTGATCGTGGTACCTTCTGTTCTTCTGAGTATGTGGGTCCTGGGGCCTAGACCGATATACTCCATCATATACCATTATTTATTTCGATCATATTTTCAACAGACCCCCTAAAAAAAGCTTTGATATAGAACATATTTTATGGTAAATATACCAAACATATACTAGTATGTTTTATATGAGTGATTACTCGCTTTACCAAAATGAAACATGTTAAACTTGAAGATGTGCATAGTAAACAGGATTACCATATCTATTTATTTATATATCGGGCTTGTTTGTTTAAAATTTTGGCGTTTTTCACTCCAAACGTTGGAAATATCAGCGTTTTCTTTTCTTTTTTATACTGTAAAAGAAAACGGTCTCTTTTTTATACTACGTACTTGTTTGTTTGATTTATAGGGAGATTTGCAATTTTAATCATGTAACTTTCGTCTGTTATCGTTTTTGCTCCTGTAACTTTAAGCACTGGCAAATTTGGTCCTGTAACTAATAAATCTTTGTGATTTAAGGGCTTTCCCACCAGAAAGTATACTTTCCGGCGGAAAAGTTCGACGCCGGCGACATCTTTTTCGGTATGCTATTGCCGGAAAGTGTACTTTTCAAGAGAAAAGTCCTTACATCGCAAATATTAATTAGTTAGAGAACCAAATTTGCAAGTGACCAAAGTTACGGGACTAATAACGATAACGAGCAAATGTTACGGGATGAATATGGTAAATTTTGATTTATACGGTAAATCACGCCAGGATCGAAACGGCCTCATTATTAGATTCACTGTAAGGTTTGGTTATACTATTATGATTTCCAAAATGAATTACTACCGTTGACTCATAATTTATTAGTGCTCTTAAATTCTCTTAGATTAAAGAGCATACGTGGGCGTGTTTCATTTTCTTTGATTCTCTAGCCTTTTTCGTCTTCACATGTAAGCTTGAAGTTTAAAATATGTGTAAACGCACACCATGTAGCCGTTGACTCTAAGTCTTAAATGATTAGTGTTCCATCAATCAAAGGTTTTGAAAAGTACAATCAAGTAATTAACTTACAATAATAAACCATCATGTAATAAAACCCGAATGGAGGCCGGGAACAAACAGGGACCGTGGAATCAGTGGTTTATTTAGGCCTTCTTTGTTAAATGGCTATTAGTTGTTGCTGTTAGCTGGCTGTGTCAGCTGTTTCCTAACAGCTGGTTGTGTTAGCTGTTTTGACGGGCTGGTTATGTTAGCTGATTATAAATAGAAAAAAATTCACTTTTCTTCCCGTGACTATTATACCACTTCCACATTATCAAGTTTGGCATTACTAGGCTTTAAAACATGGCATTTTTTTTCAAACTTGGCAAAATTTACTCATATTTAAGGAATAAAAAAACATGATACTCCTATTTTGGAATTTCAAAATAATCTCAAGAAATCTAGTCCTAACAAAAAAGGAAGAAAATAAAACAAAATTGAATACTCTCCGTATATATTGGAATGAATAGGGTTGAAGTAGGTAGGTATGTTGAATTAGGAGGGTGAATCCACAACTTGCATACAGCCAGCCACAAGAGACTTTTGGAGTCAAAAGTCAACAAAGCTTAAAACGTCACCATCTCACCGTCTTGATTTTCTCCATCTCCGGCGCCCAATTCATAACTCGTTTTATTTAAGGCCCTCTTTATCCTTGCTCCTTTTACCGGGAATATTATACTCTGTTCACTGGCGGTAAACGCGCGGCCATTAAAACCTCACCGAGTGCACTCCGTGTAGAGACACAAACCAGGCAGGAATACTCGATCGGATTCACAGATAAAGCGATGGCTACGAACGGCCTCGAGCGCAACAGCAGCGTCAAGCCTGTACCTGATGATATTAAGGGGAAGAAATCCCAACGAACTGTACAGGAGTTAAAAGCAATTGAGAAATGGCTTCCGATGACCTCTTCGAGGAATGCCAAGTGGTGGTATTCGGCTTTCCACAATGTCACTGCCATGGTTGGTGCAGGAGTACTCGGCCTTCCCTATGCCATGTCTCAGCTTGGATGGTATGCCTCTCTATTTCTACACATTACACAATAATGAATGTATATATATAGTACGGAGTACTACGTAAACAATCATACTTTCCGATCCGTGATTGTTTATTCTCTGATTCGATCGTCATTTTTTTCATAATATTGAAATTCAGTTTCGGCCTCCATTAGAAGAGAATTAAGTTTCTCTTCTGTCATTCTTGTGAACTGTTTTAGGCATCATAATATGAGGAGGTAGACCTGTTCTGGGTTTCCATTTATACCGGAGTACGAACTCTCTATTTTTGAACAGAAACCGAGAGACTGGGGCCCAGGGCCGGCCATAGGGCTAGGCACCTAGGCAGTGGACTACGGCACCACTCCCAAGGGGGCATCATTCTCCTCTCCAATAGGTTTTGGTCCGAACGCTCCGAACAACACCTTTCGGGACGGTTCCCGCTGGAATTTTTTGATGAAATTTTTATGGTATGTTCTTAATCAAGTCTAGTTTATCCACAAAAAATTTAAACTCAAAATCCGATCGGGAAGACCGTCAAATATTTTTTGGAAATTAACTGCGCAAAATTATACATAGAAAAACGCAGTCAACTTCCAAAAATTATTTGACGGCCTTCCAGATCGAGTTTTGAGCTGAATTTTTTGTGAATAAACTAGACTTGATGCATAATATAACATAAAAATTTCATCGAAAAATTCCACAGGGAACCGCCCCAAACGGCGTTGTTCGGACGGCGCCTCAGGTCCGAACTTTCGGACCTGAGAATTTTCCTATGTATATAGAATAAACTGACCCAATAAGAATTACTGATCATGATTACCTCGTTGATAAAAAACGGAGTTTTAGTGACAAACACTAAACTCGCTGCTTGCAAATGGTGAAAAAAGTGTTATCTACTCTTGATTGTGGTGATGTACCTACAAATTTGCACATCAAAAAGCAAGAAGAATATGTTATTAGGTAGTACTTTTATAATTTTATTTATTTCTTTGAAGAATTTATATTTTCACATGCTTTACATCAATTTTAAATCAAGTATTTCTTTTTACATTTAGTAAAAAATGATGTTATAATTTTCAAATTATTTCATATTCAATTATGTTATTAATTTGAAGTACAATTTGATATCATTAGTTATTTTTTGTCTGGGGCACCAAAATTCTCGGAGACATTAGTTATTTCATACTTTACTGCTGGGGCCTGTTTAGAACCTTTGGTTCTTAAGGGTGCTTCGGTTCCAGTATTGTTTTAGGCTTGGTTGGGCTCCGGTTGCCTGATATTTGAAACCAGAAACCACTGGTTTGGCTCCGGTTAGGGTTTGATTTGGAACCTCCTACATACGTAGATTGAGGAATTAATAATGATTACTAAATTTCAGGGGATCTGGTGTTGCAATGATGGTGATGTCATGGATAATCACTCTATACACACTGTGGCAAATGGTTGAGATGCACGAGATGGTTCCGGGGAAGCGTTTTGACAGATACCACGAGCTGGGGCAGGAGGCTTTCGGTGAAAAGCTGGGACTATGGATCGTCGTCCCGCAACAGCTGGTGGTTGAGGTCGCTGTGGATATCGTGTACATGGTCACAGGTGGAAAATCCCTCAAGAAATTCCATGACTTGGTCTGCAAAGACTGCAAAAACATCAAACTCTCCTACTTCATCATGATCTTCGGTTCCGTCCACTTCGTCCTCTCCCACCTTCCCAACTTCAACTCCATCTCCGGGGTGTCTCTAGCAGCAGCAGTCATGTCATTGAGTTACTCCACCATCGCTTGGGGGGCTTCTGTGGACAAAGGCGTGCAACCGAATGTGGACTACAGCTACAGATCTTCATCGACTAGTGGCACTGTTTTTGACTTCCTGAGTGGGTTGGGTGATGTGGCTTTCGCTTTTGCAGGTCACAATGTGGTGTTGGAGATTCAAGCCACTATCCCTTCCACATCTGAAGTCCCTTCCAAGGGACCCATGTGGAGGGGAGTGCTTGTAGCGTATATCGTTGTGGCCTTGTGCTACTTCCCGGTTGCCTTCATCGGCTACTGGGTGTTTGGAAACCTAGTGGAAGACAACATTCTAATCTCCTTGCAGAAACCTACCTGGCTCATTGCTATGGCTAACCTCTTTGTCGTTATTCATGTCATTGGAAGTTATCAGGTAACAACCTAACCCTACGTATATACACTCTCATCTACTTAATTGTGAACTGCTTCAAACAATATCAATCAATTTTGTGTGTATTTTCATGCGGCAGATCTATGCAATGCCTGTTTTTGATATGTTGGAGACATTGCTAGTTAAGAAACTGAACTTCAAGCCTACTTGGTACCTGCGTTTCATTACAAGAAATATATACGTGGGTACGTAAGACAAATTGTACCGCACACATTCTGAATATTAGCATCCACTGGTTGAAATGTACAGTTAATTCCACTGCACACTTGATGATAAATTCATGATTGCAGCAATTACAATGTTTCTTGGAATCACATTTCCTTTCTTTGGGGGGCTACTCGGATTCTTTGGAGGATTTGCTTTTGCCCCGACGACATACTTTGTAAGCTGCCCCCTTCTTTCACTTGAATTGTACTAGCCCATACGCTATATCACAATATATATAGTGCGTAGTATATAATGTTAGTATGTGCGTTTTTGCAGCTCCCATGTGTGATGTGGCTAGCTGTTTACAAGCCGAAGAAATACAGTCTTTCTTGGATCACAAACTGGGTATGTTGACTAATAGTTTGTCCCTAAGTATAGGCTTCGGTTATGAATACATTCATCATCGATGCTCGCCGATTGATTGCAGGTTTGCATTGTCCTGGGAGTTCTCTTGATGATTTTGGCACCCATTGGCGGGCTACGGAATATCATCGTACAAGCCAAAGACTACAAATTCTACTCTTAATTTAAAACAGAAACTCGTTCTTTTGCTACAAATATTTATACAAATATAGTACATTAGTTTTATACGGAGTAGTAAATTTGCTCTGAACATTTATAAAAATACAGTAAATTAATGTTATAGTTAATTTTAAAAGCTTCTGAGGGACTTGGTAGTTTCCGATCCTTAGTACTCCAGAAATTGATGAAGTACCAGTGGGAATGCAAGAAATTAATATCTGGATGTAAGGCAACGTGCTGGTCTTTTCTTCACTCTTGCAATGTACCCTTTTTATTACATACACACATACATACAAACCTCTACCACAAATATTCTTATACGGAGTATCTTTCTTAATTTGCGGTGGTACAGACGACGTACAGTCGTACGGTTGTACGTAGTACGCTGTAAACTGAATTGATTGCTATTTAAGAGTTATGTAAAATGATTCTCTAGTACATTTCACCTTGTGTATCAATTTTCGGCCAATGTAATATTTTATCAGTGTATTCCATTCAGGCTGTAAAGTAACTAAGTAAGCACAGATGTGTTTACAAGTCGGTAAAGTCTCGGTTGTTGATATTGTAAAATTTGGCCTGCAAATGTTTGAATTATACAGAAGGTGAAACAATCCGCAGTGGTATTACGAGTGTTTGCAATGGTTTTTGAGCACATTTAAACAAGAGTTTTTTTGAGTTTATATTTACACAACAAAGGAAAAAACACAAAGATTTGTTTACCTAGTTCATCAGAAGACAACTCTACTCTAATGGTGCTTCCAAGTAAGGCCCGTCAGGTGCCAAAGCCAGGTACAGTATCTGACAGAGCTCAACCATCACATTTAAAAAGTTTTGATAACTTTGACGCCAAAGATAAGTTGTCTACTAAATCAAGCTCCAAATTGTCTGTTTTTTTGGCATGATGAAGACTTCTAGTAGAACAGATACAAATGCCCCTATTACATACTTCATAAGTCACAAAAAATCGAATACCCCTTGACAAATTTCAGTTTGCTTCTTTGTTTAATGGTAAAAACACTCTTTCAAAATGCTGAATTTCTCACTCGATAATTTTACAGCCTTGTTGCATTCTCTGTCTGGCTGTCTATTCCAAAGTTCAGCTTATCTTGTGGACTAACTGAATAGGCATTATGGCTGATCATCCTATATGACAAATAATTTACGGGGAAACTATTTTTAAAGGGAATATACATATATAAAGAGCACCCGGTGCACATTGGCGTCCCCGCAAGGTGAGGGTCCAAAGCAGGTGTACACAGGGCAAATCTTCCCTTATCATACTGACAAGAGGCCGTCCCCCTAACTTGAACCCGTGACCTCTCGAACACATAGCAACACCATAATCGGTGCTCAAAGGGATATGACCCATATGCAATCACAAAATTCACAGATTCCTAATATTTGATTGGAAACTTCAACATTCCTCATGAGCGTAGTACCTCGTGGAAGGAAACAAGTAACAACAAAGCAGTTACTATACATTCAACCAGTGAACCACCATTCACTTAGGTTTAGTCATATTCCAGGATTCAGCACCTCCTTTGGTCATACTCTTGATAATTCTCTAATTCGAAAACTTCAAAGAAAGCATACTTGATCAGCAAATCAGTTTTATACTTGGATACCAAATACAGATGAAAGAAAACATTTTGATCCGCTCTACCTTCTAATAGCACCGAAAGATTATAACTTTACAGTATAACATTGAGATCAAAGTTTGATTCCATAAACATACTGGACTAATTTACCCAAAACAAAAGGTAGAGAGGGGTGACAATAAATTGCAGGTTGGATAATTGTAGGTTGGATTTCATCAAGTCAAAGTAACAGCAGATAAACACAGACAACTCAAATCCAATCTGACGGGTAAAATTAAAAAGGAGTCAGTCTTCATTGGTTTGATTTTTCTGTAAGAATAATACAAGCATTAAATGTGCCCTAAATTCTCTAACTGTATTTTTTGTCAAGTTTTTGACTTTTCTGTCGATACAAGTCAACCCAACGATTTGAAACCCACAAGACACTGACAGAGATTGCAGCGATAATAACAGTAAACCAAGAAATCCACATCCATCTGGGTATAACATTCTCGGCTTCCCCTTTCATAAAAGAAGCCAGCATTCTATAAACAAACAGCGGCCCAGCAAACCCTCTAACCACAGAATACAGAGCATAAAACGGAGGGGACAGGAATTCGTACACTTTGGCAGCCAATTTCGAATCGGATTTCCGCGCGCCGGAAAGGGTCCAGACGTTCTGGCAGAAACTGGTGACCTCCGCCAGAAGCAGGAGCCCTAATACGGAATACGCTCCGTGAGAGACGGCGTATCGGCAGCTGACGAAAACGAACAGGGTGGCCAAATGGTGCGCGATGAAGAGAGCGTCGGTCGGGAAGAAAATCAGGTAGTGGAAAAGGTCCATCAGGAAATAGGCGACGCTGAAATCGAGGACCAAGTTCTGGAAGGGCGTGTTCCGGGAGTGGAAGCTCCGATTAGGGTCGGAGAGGACGGCGGCTGCGGCTAAGAACACGGCGGGAGTGCCGTGGGTCAAGGAGATGGCGCAGCTGGCGGCTTCGGGTCGGAGCTTGGGCTTCCAATTGCGGAATATGAAGAGGTAGGCGATGATGTAAATTAGGAGAAAACCTGTGAAGAAGAGGAGGAGATTAGGGATGGGAGTGATCAGACTTGGAGATTCCATGATTGAAGGGAAACGCAAACTTGCAACAATCGGGATCTACTCGTACAAATTTTTAAGGTACGGTAGATGATTCAACCAATACGGAATATATAGACCCCAACTCGGTGTCAGAGAATGAGTCTCCGCATATGCTTTTGATTCCGAGAGCAGAGTGTGATTTTGTTAGGAGAATATTACGTGAAATAGGATTGAAACAGTTTCAAAATTCTAAAATATCATTGTCATATTTTTAATCCCGAAATAGGACTAATTACTGTCATGTTTTGGTAGTACCAAACTTCAAACATGGCAATATTTTCTGAACATGGTAATAATTAATCATATTTTGGGAATAAAAAACATGATAATCTTATTTTGGAATTTTCAAACTGTTTTAATCATATTTCGGAAACTTTCCCTTTTTTAATCAATCGATGTTAATTAATTCAACTTTAATAATTAAAATTTATATATTTACAAATTACAATAAAAAATTTATAGTTGAAAATTTATATTAGAATATAAATAAAAATTGATATTCTAAGTGACAAAATAAAACTTTTTGACAAAAAATATTGATTTCGTTAATTAATTTAGGCTGAATTAGTATGTAATATTGGTACCATTAGAGGTACCAAAGCAAATTAATACGGTAAATCAAGAATTAAACTGATGAGATAAATAAGAATTGACGTACGGAGTATAAGCCTATGTTATTGGAAGATTTAGGTCTCATGCAAAGCTTAAATAGAGGACCAAGTGATCACAACAGACAATTTTCAATTCTAGATGATGTGTTAATGACTGGATATTGCCAATAATGAGATTTAGCATCTGAAACGTATGATTTGCTCAATCATGACTAAATTATTGAATTTTAATACATAGTACATTATTATACTACGTATTAATTAATGAGAATCAACATTAGTACTAATATAATAGGGTTTTTATCAAAAGGGTTAATTATCAAAATAGGACTAAAAGTCACTCACTTTGCATAAATAAGACAAAAAACTAAACTATGTTTTCATAGGATTAATTATGTGTGTCTTGGACAAATATACCCTTCTAGCTATTGAAATATTTTAATTCATAATAAAATAATAAAAAATAATAAAAATTCGTAAAAAATACTAAAAAACTAATAAAAATATTTCGATAATAATAATTAATTAATTTTTTTTTTTCAAAAAATTAAAAAATTAAAAAAAAAATTAAAAAAAAAATAAAAAAACTCAAAAAAATAAAATAAAATTCACCGCCGCCTCTGCACCACCACCTCCAGTCACCGGGAAAAAAATGCCAAGTTCATTACGAATGCCGTATTTATGGCAGAAAATAATGAAAATGTTGGCATTCTCAAAGAGAAATATGCCATGTTTTTGGCATTTTCAGGAAAAAATGGCAGTTTTTAGAAAAAATGGCATTTTTTTCATCGTCCTAAGATGGTGGTGCAGGGAGGTAGTACAGGCGGTGGGAAAGGCATCCATATTTTATTTAATTTTTTTATGGATTTTTACTATTTTTTATTAATTTTTAAAAAAATAAAAAAATTTAAAAAAAATTATTGTTTTTAAATTTTTTATTTTATAAATATTTTATAAATTTTTTAATTATTTTTCTACGAATTTTTGAATTTTTTTGAATTTATTATGAATTAAACATTTAATTAACTCATATTTAAAGGAAGAGTAAGAATGAAAGGAAAAAATAGGTATGTTTCCAATAGGACTAATTTGGTTCTATTTTGAAAAGAAAAACATAGGAAGTCATATTTTGAGTTTTTGCCATAGTTTTAATCCTATTTGGAGTAATTTCTATTATCAAAACTATTATTAAAACAAAATTTCTTTACTCAAATACTCCGTATGACTTATAGTTACGAAATGGTAGTGTCATGGTCATTTAACTTTAAAAGTTGAACATAAAAAGTTGAACATAAACTGATACTCCTCTATATAGTTTTACTCTATATAGAAAAGGCGCACTATGTCTCTAAGGATCCATTATTAGCAAAATAGTTTGTTTTGTTTTTTGGCAATCAAATCGATTAAAATAGTTTGTTACAAAGATTAAATTGAAATGTAAAGAATAAAGCTCGATTGAATTTTACATAATTTGGTACACTGTTAATTATTTAAACTATAAAACTCAAATGCTCACTCTCTCAATAAAACAATTACTGTTTCAATTCATATAGAGACAACATATTCACTTATGGAATTGAAAACATGTTTTAATTCTACACAAAAATCGTTATTGCCTAAAATGATTTGTAACTCATATGAATTAATAGATTTAAATATTGACTCTCTCATTACAGAAATGATACATTTAATTTACTAGCTCTCTCAATCTAAACTTTAATTTATACATGAGAAAATTACCACTAATATTACTAAAACTGAAGAATTTTCCTAAAATATGATTACTTATGTTTTTTTACTAGTATGATATCATCCATCTATGCATGTGTTAATATCCATCCCTATTTTTTAGTCATAACCATATAGCCTTCCACATCATTCTTCCTATTTCTATGCAAATTGGAGTATGCCATTCATTTTAATCCCTAATAAATAGGAAATGATATGCCTAACGTAGCTAATAAATTGGAATCCCCATGTATTTAGAAATGATTTGAGTCATATCCAACATAAAAAATCATGTATGGTCATATTCTAGTAAAACTAATGAGTTTTAGTAATATTGGAGTATTTTTCCCTTTGTACATTCCAATTCCAACAAGAATCAATGTTTTCACATGTCAATACCTAAAAAAAGTAAAACATTTATCATCTAATTATAACAACAACAAAAAATCATTTCCGATGTACTCCTTCCGTATTTTAAAGTTTGTTACATTTTTTGGAAGGTATATAAAAGTTTCATACACTTTTCTTTTTGATAAGCTTTTCCTTTAAAAAAAACTTAATTATTTTTATTTTTTCTTCTTTTTATATTCTCTTTCATACGTTTCCACCTTTTTTCCTACTTTTCAACCACTATTCATTGCATGTACTATTTCACCCTTAAATGTTGTGCGCAAACCTATTGTACAAAATTTCAAATACGGAGGGAGGTAGCATAAAAAAATAACAAAAAAATAAAATAAAAAAAGTCAATACATTTTTTACAAAAATGGCTAAAAAGTAACTTTTTGTACCCTTTTAAAAATAAAAAACAGGAATCCGAATAAAAAAATAATGGACACCATTGTGTATGCTTCTTTTTACCTTTTCTTCTCACTAAACAAAAGATTTCTTCTCACTAAACAAAAGAAGAACAAACAAATGACATTTACCTTGTGCAATACTGCAAACCGCATATCCTTTCTTCAACTGATCAAATCTATGGGTAGAGAGTTATTGATGAGGTAAATATTTCTAACCAAAACTCCAAAAGTCAATAAATTTACTTTTGACCTTAGTTTCACATGGGATCTAGACATTTTCGGATTAAAAGGACTCAACACCCAAGTGATCATTTTGTTTTATTTTCCATTTTCTTTTTAATTCTAAATTATAAAGAAAAATACCAACCTCATATAATTAAAAATACATCTTAATTAAGTATAATAAATCTAATTTATCACACTTAATTAATTCTATCAAATAGAACTCTCCTTCAACTTCATGAATTAAATATGTTTAATCTAATTAATATTTAATCCATTTTCAGTATTACTAATTAAATATTATTTAATCCAATTAATAATATTTAATTCCTTCTAACAATTCAATCGGAAGGTATAATCACTTGTTGTGTGATCCATAGGGCCTTATATATTAAGCACTAATCAAATTAAGGTCTTAGTAGAATCTCTAGATGATTTACCAGATAAACTTAATATGTAAGGACGTTTGCGAGAACTATTCAAACTCCATGTAATATAGAGATCATAGTGATACGGTCCTTTCATTCAACGAACATTCAACTAAGTCTAGAACATGATATTGTGTCTATTCCAATAACTTAGTTTCTGTCTCTCAATCTTTCTAGATGATCCATAACGAACATATTCGATATCCAAAACGAATATATCTTTGCATTGGTCAATGACTTTATGATCCATCTAGATATGAGAAGTAGAATGTTCTCTCTTAATCTATTACGAGGAATGAATCATTTCTTGGCTAAACTACTATTCCATGTGCTTCGTGATGCACCCAACACATGCCGTATCTACCCCGATTAGAGTACAAGTGTTGGTCATGGTCAAAGTACATCACTCCACACATGTAGTACGTATTGACCTCAAGTCGGAGGACTATTACACTACTCTATACGCTGATAATCCCATAGACACATGAATAGAACTTATCAAATGGTTTCTCGGTGGGTATGTCAATATTCTCTAAAATATCTATGTGACCATTATGAATTACAGGAACTCATAGTTGTGAGATCAACTATACTTTCTAAAAGTATGATGTAGTCCACATACCAATCTTATCGCATATCATCAATATCCCATTCTTGATGATCATTGATTGAGGCTAATTTAGGACCTTATGTTATATCATATAAGCTCCCACTTACTTATTGACAACATAAGTCCAAGGGAACACAATTATGAATAAGATATTGAGGCTAATTTTAAAATCCTTTGCATCCAATGGGTCTAACCCAACAGGCAAGTCAACCAAGTTCCATACTTGATTGATATACATCAAGTCCATTTTAGATTTCATGGCATCTCGTCACCTCTCTAAATCAACATCTAATATTGCTTTAGTGTTGGTCTTAGGTTCATCTTTATCAGGAATCTCAACATCATCATGATTCTCCATGAGGAAGTCAACCCTAGTTAGTTCATGACGAATCCTAGTAGACCCACATAGTTGAATATTTTGCGTTTTGTTCAGGCTATTCATTCTGATCGTGAAGAGGTTCTCTTTCATTGGACTATCCAATGCTCAGAGAGTTTTCCGGTGCTACACTTTTAAGTGTTTCCAGAGAAAGAGAAGTGAGCGTAGAAAGAATGACAACCATGTCATCTCTTTCTTTAATAAGAATCACACTCTGGTGCGAGATGATTCCTATGTTACTCCACTAGCTGAAAGACATCCTCCTAGAGACATTCTTCCACTCAATTCTCCCACTGAATCCTTGTGTTGACCATCTAACAAGTCTTCATCCTCTATGTTATTTTGTGATTCTTGAACTTCATCGAGTTCTATCCTTCCACGATTACATTCCTTAAAGACCAAGTCTTGTACTAGGAATCTTGCTTGTCTGGAAATGATGATTTTATATCCCCCGGAAAGATAAATTAGTATCCCTAGTTTCCTTAGGATACCCCACAAAATAATATTTCTCACTTCTAGGTCCCAACTAGTCAATGTCCATTTTCTTCACATATGTAAGGCAGTCTCACTCTTTAATATGTGTAAGAATAGGCTTCTTATTACACCATAACTCATACGGTGTATTTTGAACTAACTTAGATGGAACCCTATTCAAAATGTAAATTGAGGTTTCCAATGCGTACCCCCAAAGAGATGTTGGAAGAGACGGGAATTTATCATGGACCTAACCATGTCCAACAAGGTTATATTTCTCCTTTCAGAAACCCAATTCAATTGAGGTGTTCCTAAGAAGTCCATTGTGTCTGAATTCCTTGACCTTTCAAGTAATCAAAAAAATCCTTACTCAAGTATTCCCCTCCACAATCAGAACCTAGAGTCTTGATACTCTTGTCAAGTTGTTTCTCTACTTCAGCCTTATGCTCCATGAGTTTCTCAAAAGCTTCTTATTTGTGTTTCATAAGATACACAAAACCAAACCTAGAGAAATCATCAATAAAATGATGAAGTAAGGAACTACTCCTCTAGCTTGAGTTGGAAACTGTCCACACACATATGTGTGAATCAACTCAAACACTTCTTTGGCCCGCAATCTTTTTCCAAGAAAAGGTTTATTGGTCATTTTAGCTAAGAGACAGGAATCACAATTACCATGTGATTCAAAATCAAATGGTGTTAAGTAATCTAATTTACTTAATCTTGTTATTCTTGTTTCACTAATATGGCCAAGTCGCAATGTCAAAGATATGTGGTATTTTTTTGATTACTTAACCTTGAGCTCTTATTTTGTACATTTAATATGTCATGCCTACAAGTAAGAATATATAAATCATTCATAAGAGGGGCATTTCCATACACAATGCCATTTTGTCAAAAACAACAAGTGTTATCAGCAAAATGGAAGGAAACCCCTTAATGTCTAACATATGAATGAAAATTATATTCTTTGTTATAGAAGGAACAAAATAACAATTATTTAGTTCTAAACTATAACCGTTGGGTAAATCTAATTTATAAATGCCCACACGCCTAGCAGCAACTTTACCCAACCTAACTGCTTCTTGTCACTTAGACTTTACACATTATTCCAATGTGTGAGCCACACGTTGTATCTAATACACAACAGTGAGAGTTAGTTATAGACATATTAATATTAATGACAAAAATACCTAAGCTAAAACCACTTGCTGCTTTGGCTAGATTAGCCCTACATAGCTTAAGATTTCTCTTCTGATGCCCTCTCTTTGCTGTAGAGGCATACATCCTTTAGTACCTTAGATTTCTTTTGAATCCTACCTTTAGGTTTCAAAGCTAGAGGTCTAGGTCTAACCTTACTTCTCTTCTTCTGCTTGTTCTTTCCCGTAGGAAAAGATTCAACAGTAGAGCTTACCTTAGCAATGTCATTCTTCTGAAAGTCAATGTCAAACATAACTAATTCAGAAGAGTTGACATTAGGAACCTCGGGTACACATGTGTCAAACACATTCTCAATATTTTCTTGCCTAAACACTAAACGCACATTTTGTTCGAAGTCTAGAAAGTTTGGTCGAGTTAGATTATTTGTATCCAAGATACTTCGCAATGATAAATTCGACTTCGTAAAATCCTAGAGAAGTTCAAATAGAACGTGAATTAAAATTCATATAATAATTCCTATGATCACATTTAGTTAACTAAATAATATGGACTTTTAATTATTTAGCTCCCACTATTTTTCATGTTCTTTGACCGCAATAAAAAAACATAGATTGTTTCTACAATCACATCTCTAAATTAACACTGACGCTTGGGCGACTCGAGCTAATTTAAGTAAGTCAAAACCATCACACGATCACAAACATATGTATCTATAAATTAGTTCTATATTTTGTTGAATGGAATAAACACTTGGGTGAAATAATCTTAAACCAAAAAATATTTCTACTAATTTAATTATGATGGGTGATGTCATTAAATTATTTAATCAAGATGCTAATAACATATTATCAAATAATATGTTAATGAGATATAACTCAAACACATAAATTAAAGCATGCAACATAAATCTAATTTATAAACAAAAACAATAATCAAACAGTAATAACATAAGACTGCTTAACAATTGTAGGTCAAATAAAATTTATCCTTCCAAATCTCAAAGATAATTAATCTGATTAATAAAGGATATCTTAATTTCCGTCATCATTACGAAAAATAAGAAGCAACGATTTACCTTATGTTAGGATTTCAAAAAAACGACAAACATCTTTTGTTAAATCTAATTTTCCAAAAACGGGTTTAAAGATCCACACATAAGATCTTAAATTGAAAAGAGGTACGTGGCTTAATATAATATATCCAAAGACATCCCCAAACTGAAAAGAATTCTAATTTGACACGGACAGTTTATCTACGTGCCGAATTGTTTGCCGTCAAACTCGCCGAAAGCAGCTGACTCGAAAAGTCATCCATCACAAAACTATTTATGCCCTTCGATGTACAGATTGAAAACGCAGCAAAGACCAGAAGTTCGCTTATTCTGGACGAATTCGAAAAACATTTTGTTTGAACTCCCGGCGTTCAGGTAATACGCAGCCAGGTACAACGGCGACAAAATACGGCCGATGAGCACCGTTCATGAGAACTTTGACAACGTCCGTAGATGTTTCAGATCGTTCAACAAAAATGAATCTTTCTTCTGACCTTTATCTACTATACTTATTTACTCCATTTTGTTAATGGAATACATAATACGTAGTATACAGTCAACTTGGAGATCAAATCACATCCATATTTTTAATTTCAAAATTAAAATCTTTACATATGATAGTGCTACAGAGTTCTTTAACTTTTGATTTCAAAAATCAATTCGAATTCAGATTCGGAAATCAAAATAGGGAATAATAAATTTTACGGAAAATATATATAACCCACAAAACTATTGATCAAAATTCGTATAATGCCATTAGAATCAGTTTGGCTCTGATACCACTGTTAGGAAATTGATATAACGTATCTCGAAAGTACAGCAGCGGAAGTTTAAAATTTTTCCAAACAGATCTTCCCTTATTATGACTAAACAACGAATATAACAAAATAACATATCTGAGTTAGAACGTACAGATCTTCCAGTCTAGCGGTGATAATCCCTGACCTTAAGTATCCACGTGATTTCTCCTTTCCGAAAGACAGTTAGATCTCACTAAAAGAAAGGCTATGAAATCTCTTGGCAGAGAAATAAATTGGTAATACTGAATCTGAAAACTGATCACAAAATTATGAAGGAGGATGATGCATTTATACTAGTTATAAATTAGTTTCCTAATCACAATGAAATTATTTCTCATTAACGAGCTCTAATCCCGTTACTAGATTTTTCATCATTTGCTGCACCTCTTTTGCTGCGGTCCCTATCACAACCGCAGCAATAACTCCGGAATTTTAAGTATTTGTGGCGTTTCAATTGCAACCGCAGCAATTATGTTCAAAAAATTAGACTTTTTGTTGCGGGCTTCGTGAAACCGCAGCAATTACCCCCAAAAAGTAAACCTTTTGCTTCGGTTGTACTGTAACCGCAACAATAAGCGCTTAAAAAAGGATAGCCCCAGGCCTTAGCTTGTTCGCTGAAACTGTGGCCATCGTCTATCTTCTCCATCATTCTAGCTGCGTTGGAGAGCCATCGTCTATCTTCGTCTGTGTAGGAGAGCCCCCTCCGTAGGTCCAGGCGTCCAGCAGAGTCATCGGGCCTCCTTCAGCAGTCGTCCGCCTGCCACTCTCAGCCGCAGCCATCTCTGCACAGCACATAACACTCCCCCCCCCTCCCAGTAGAGTCGCCGTACTCGTCTACACCTTCTCCGCACCTTGTTTACTCAATAAAGGTTTAGTTTTCTAACCATTTGTCATATTATTCAATTTATTGAATTTGATCAATTTTTAGGTTATTATTTCTGTGAATTTATTGATAGAATTGATGTTATGTTTTTATAAATTGAGGTTTTTGCTTCCTCCGTACTCATTCGTGTTTATCATTTCCTTCTCAATTGCTAGCTTGTGCAGAATACCTGTTTGTGCTAATGTATATCACATGGATACGACATAAGATGAGTCTAGACGGTGTCTCTAATTTGCACCAGAAATTTATACAAGGAATACTTGACTTACCCGCACGGGTAGCTCAGTTGGTCGAGTGGTGGGAAAAATTGGACGTAGACCAAGGTTCGAATCCCGCAGCGGCCAAAATGGGTTTTCAGAATCTGAAATAAGGCTGGCCCTCTGGTGCGCACGGATAAAGGCTTACTGTCGCTTTGACGACTGAGTCACCGTGATTTACTCCCCCACCATCCTGTCGGGTCGGGGTGGGAGGGGCCCTTGGATACACGGATGTGTCCTTTTGGACGAGGAATACTTGACTTGGATACAACAAAACTGACTAAGTATGAAATCCTGTTCTGGGAGCTTTTCGTGGCCGACGAGGGCGTGGCCGACAAGGTCACCCAGTTCTTCTGGCTTCTGGATCGAATTCTGAGTAGACTTCTTTCTGGTCGATGGAGGTCATCTGGCCGACGGGGGTTCCACCAGGTGATCGTGGTACCTTCTGTCATGAGTATGTGGGTACTGGGGTCCAGACCCATATACTCCATCAGGAGTCCCCCACTCTCCGAGCTGAGAAGTAGACAAAGTGAGGGAGAGTAGATTCCATGGTTTTTGACGTTTTTCTGGCCGTTGTGACATCGCTATGGGGGTTTTCCTGTTCTGGCCGTTGTGTGGCCTTCATTGTGGACGAAGAGTGTCCTACATTGCTGTGTGGCCGTTGTGTGGCCTTTCGATTTGAATAGCTGATGCGGGTGTTGTCGTTTTTTGGTTGTCGATGGTTGCCTTTGATGGACTGACCGAGGAGGCCTCACGCCTGTTTTGTGCTTAAGGCCGGAGCGGTGGTGTCTGTAGCTTGGTGTCCATGCTTTGAAGACGATGGTGGCACCGATCTGTGGTAGTGCGTATCCTGGTCTCATGGACGATGGTGACCTGAGGACGTTGAGCTCCTGTCTTTATCTTTTTGGCCGATAGTGGAGTACGTGATCTGGAGGCCGTTGAATGGCCTGTGATCTCAAGCCGATAGTGGAGAGAACTCTGTCTGTTGACTTTGTTGCGGCCGAAGGGGCTCCACAAGGTCATGGACGTTGTGGTGCATATATGTTCTGATGTTGTAGTTGTGGACTTGGTATATTTTTGGATTTCTTTGATTTTGTCCTCTTATATCCCAGAGGCCGATGTAGTCCCCCAGTCTCCCACTCCTTCAGGCTGAAGAGTGAGCGAGGGGTGAAGGAGTAAAGGATAACCCTAGGCCGAAGCAGGATCCTTGTATTCCCCTAATTCCAATTCCTTGGCGATTTCCTGACCAAGGTAAGCCTGTGGGAGAACCCTTGGACGCAGGTCGCTTTCAAGAAATCATCATCATGGTTTTATACAAGGCCGATGGCTGCGGGGTTGCTTTTTGCTTTGCTTTTGTGGCCGTTGGAGAGGCCATGTTATTGGTATTCTGTTTTTGGCTGATATGGGTACACTTTGTGGTGACCTGGCATTTTGAAATTAATGTTGGCCGTTGTGGCCGATGTAGGTGTTAGATGTCAGGCAACCGTTGAAGTAAGATTGATTTTCTCTGGTGAGGCCGTTGAGTGCCTTTGCCGTTTGTAAATGTCATTAGTCCGTGGGTTGAGCCGTTAGTGCTTCCTTTGAAGTGGGCTGACTGTCCCCGAAGTGGGCCTGACCTGTTTACGAAGCGGTGACACCTTCCTGGGCCTTGTTGTAATACCCGAGATTAATTTAAGAGGATTAATAGTACTACTCATACCAACAAAGGTGCATCTCCTTTTAAGGGAGCTCATCACCCAAGAACTCCAAAGTTAAGCGTGCTTGCACGAGAGTAGTCTTGGGATGGGTGACCCCCTGGGAAGTTTCTCAGGGCGCGCATGAGTGAGTACAAAGTGCGCGGTAAAGGCTCGTGGTGGTTTGTGAGGACAGTACTATTGGTCTAAAGTAGCTACCTCAGGTCCTGCGAGGCCGGGGTGTTACAAATGGTATCAGAGCAACCCTGCGACAGTGTGTTGACCCGTTGGATATCGGGCGGGCACTTAGCGGGGCAAGATTCTGGGGTTTGATTGAGATTGGTTTAAGGGCGCAACGAGGACGTTGCGATCCTAAGTGGGGGTGATTGTAATACCCGAGATTAATTTAAGAGGATTAATAGTACTACTCATACCAACAAAGGTGCATCTCCTTTTAAGGGAGCTCATCACCCAAGAACTCCAAAGTTAAGCGTGCTTGCACGGGAGTAGTCTTGGGATGGGTGACCCCCTGGGAAGTTTCTCAGGGCGCGCATGAGTGAGGACAAAGTGCGCGGTAAAGGCTCGTGGTGGTTTGTGAGGACAGTACTATTGGTCTAAAGTAGCTACCTCAGGTCCTGCGAGGCCGGGGTGTTACACTTGTAGTGGTGACCGCTGGGGCGGCCACTGATGGTGTGCCACGTGTAATGACCGTTGGGGGGGAGGCCTATAAATACCCCCCTCCCTCCGAAGAAGCTCCCCATTGCATTCTTGAGATAACGAAGTGCTGCCCAATTCTAGAGAGATAAAGGTTGTTCGCGTGTTCTTCAAAACTTCAAACGTTCAAAGGTCAGTTCATCACACTTTCCTTCATTTTTTACACATTTTGCTTTCGTGGCCTTGGATCTAGTGTTACTTAGTGAACCCTACTTAGATCCAAAGTAGAACCTCGTAGGGCTTTAGTTGTTGTTGCAATGAAGCCTTTGGACGAAAAGTACTACCCTTATGACGATGAGGTCTCCGCAAAGTCCCTCGATTATGGGTTGGTCGAAGAGTTCTGCGAGGAGATCGAAGACCTGAGCTCATTCAAATCTGGGGAGCAGGAGGAGGAGGAGGGCCAAGACGAGGAGGCCGCATCGTCATCTGAAGGCGAGGACGTCGGGATCTCCCGTGCTGTGGAAGGGGCGTCTACCTCGGCCACCATTCCGTGCCCGAAGTCAGTGTCAGCTGTGAAAGGGAAGGCGCCGGTTAGGAGGACGCGTCGGCCGAAGAACGGCCCATGCTTCTCCTATTTGGACCTCACCAATATCTATATTATCATGCCGCAAAGTAACGCGTGTGAGTACCTGGTCGCCCAGATGTATGTGGGGCCGTTTGGGAGGGTTAGGGCGCCCAGGCCGACGGACCATGTACTCAACCCTCCGGCGGGGTATTTTGGAGTCTACCCGATGAGCTTTGCGAAAGGACTGCGGTTCTCGCTTCATCCTTTTATTACCAAATATTTGGACATGGTGGGTCTTCCTCCAGCTCTGCTGACGCCGAATAGCTATTCCTTGATCGTCGGCTTCCTCCTCCGTTATGCTGAGTTGGACTTTAGGCCGACGACGACGCTGTTTATGAACCTGTACCAAATAGGCCGAGGAAGCCACAAGAACTGTTCTTGCTATGCCACCCTTCAACAGATCCATAGAAAGAGGTCGTTCACTGATCTTCCTTCGTCCATCCATGGCTGGAAGAGCAAATTTGTCTTTGTGTCGCTCGGTGAGGGGGGCACCGAATTCCCTCTGTCGGCCATAATGGGAGGTTCAACCTTCATGATCCACCGAAGAGTTCAATCTTGGACGCGCAGGTGGCGGCGTTCTTGAAAGGGGGGCCGAGGAGTGTGAAAGAGTACATCACGGAGTACAAGATGGTCGCCCTTGACTTCGTGAGGTATTTTGTATATGGTGACAAGGAGGATGATGTAGCACTGTGGCCGAAGATGACCACGACCTATGAGGAGGCCGATGGCCCTGATCTGGGGGTGCCAGTTGAGGCCGATGGTAATGTCCTTCTGACGCCCTTCTGCTCACCGTTGGTTTATCCCCTCATTTGCTGTCCTTTATGAAGAGGGCACAACTAAAGGCGTCTGAAGATTTGAAAGCCCAGCAGGCCGTTAACTCGGCAGCCGATGCGGGCCAACCTGCTACTGCCCCTTCACCGAAGCCTCCCGTTCAGCCGAAGAAAAAACGAACGGTCGAGGAGGGCCAGAAGAAGCTCACGGAGGCGGGCCTGAAGCCTACCAAGAAGTCGAAGAGGACTTCTTCTGGTGATGATGCCAGGGTGTTGACCGTTCCCTCTGGGGGAGAAGGCGGCTCTAATGCTGATGCGTTGGTGGATCTTACTTTGGGTCCTTCGTCCACCGCTGTCTCCAACCTTCCCCTTGCCGCCGCAGCCCCCGGAAGAAGGGGTCCAGCCGAGAGTTGGTCAAGGGGACCTACAAGCTTGAGGTTGAATACCCCGTTAAGGGTGGTTTGTTCAACGATATTGTTGATGGCCATGAGGTGATCTCCCAGGCCATTCCCGACGAGGACCGGGCTTATCTGAAAAAGCTCGGTAATGTCAAGATATACGACGGTGGGATGGCCCACATCGTCCAAGTAAGTTTCCTTTGCCTTCTCCCCTTTTTTCTTTGTTTATTGCATGTGTCGGCGTTGTCTAACCGTTGTGTTTCTGCAGGGTGCTTTATGCTGATGGAGAGCAATAAAAGGCAGCAAAGGGAGATCGCTCGGCTGAAGAAGATCGAGGAGAAGGTGGCTTCGGCTGATGAGGCTCTGGCCAGCTTGGAGAGGCTGCGGCTCGAGGTGGAGGGCCTGAAGAAAAAGGCGGATGAGGCCGATATGCTCTCCGTTGAGAAGGATGGGGCCCTTCAACGGTTGGTCGATGCGGAGCGAGTTCGTGATGAAGCCCTTCGTCGTGCCAAGGAGGCCGAGAAGGGTAAGGCCGAGGCGGAGTCGGCCCTGAGTGCTGCTGAGGAGAAGGCCGTTGAGGCCGCCGTGCAGAAGTTCCATGAGGTCGGTTGGAAGGGCGAGGATCGACTTCCTTGGTGTTTTGACGTCGTGGCGGCGAAGCTCCTCGACTGGGTCAACAATTGCCCTGACAGCCAAGCATACCGGGAGAAGGAGATGAAGGTCTTCTATGACCTCGACCAGTACAGGATGCAACGGTTACTTTACCGGAGGCTTCAACGTCGGTTCCTGGACCTGGGTGTTACCAAGGAGTGGGCCGTCAGTCTGGACCTGCCTCCGATGATGAAGCATCTTGAGGCCGAACTAGCGCTCCCTGCCGCGGAAAGGCAACTCCCCATCGATAGCTCCCAGGCCAGTGACGATTGGGCTTATGAGCCGAGCGTTTTTTAGGACACTGCTACGTCCGGAGCTGCTGCCGATGGGGCCACTACTCAAGCCGAGGAGAAGGCCGGCGTTGAAGAAAACTTGGAGGCCCCACCGGAGCCATGATCCGTCACTGTCCTGTTTATTTAATTAGTTGAAATGTTACGGCCATGAAGCCCCCCTTTGTACCTTGTACTTATGAATGAAAATATGCTTGTCTCTTTCGACTGTAGTGTTTACGATGTCCTCGTCTTGCCTTTCCTCTTGCTTTGTTATTCTTCGAAATTTTTCTAAGTGCTTAAGTCGAGACTTGGATAGTCGTTTCCTGAAGTGAGCATACTTCGTCCATACTGAACGCCCCTTGCTTCGAACAGCACGTGTCTAACTGTAAGCGATTGAGTGTCCGCTTCGTCTTAGCGTTCACCTTTCCTTTTATTGTTCACACTTTTAAATTTTTTCTAAGTGTCAAACTAGAACCCAGGAACTTGCTTCCTGTAGTTGTGGCCGATGAAGGGTCTTGCCCTTCGCTCGGCTGAGGGGGGGGGGGGGGGAATGTCTTCTTCGTCCTAGTAACGTTTGGTGTTTAGCTTAGAGTATAGTTGCTTTGTTCGGTGTGGACGATGGTGGTTGTTGGCTCTTTGTTTGGCCACCATTCTGGGTGCTCCTTAGGAATTCTTCCAATCACTTGGAAATTTTTCTAAGTGTTGGACAGACTTGGGTGGCTGCTTCTTTTAGGAGTGGCTGATGACAGGCTTTGCCCTTGGGTCGGCTGAGTGAGTATTCCCTGGATTATTTTAGTTACCTGTCGGCTATCTTGTGCCCGCGTTGGTCAGAAATAGATACCTCATGCCCTTGTCGGCCAAGGGAGTTTATCTTGGAGATTTTGTCCAAGTTTTTTTTTGCATGAATACTTTCGTCCATGATGTATAGTGTCTGTCTGATGATGGAAGGGTTTGATCTTGCGAAACTTGTGCGTGTATGCTTCGTCCGCGCCATTCCTTTATTGGAAATGGGTGGTTAACTTTGTACGCCTTAGTGTCTCCATCGGCTTGTGTACCTTCTTCTGTCATCCCTCCATACTTAGGAAATATACTAAGTGTTGAGTGGTCGTGTACTCACTTCACCTTGTTGTGGCCGGTGAGGGTGATGACCTCTTTTTTGCTCATCCGGGTGCTACTTGGGATTTTTCCAAGTGCCTCTGTGATGGTTTGTAGGTGCATGCTTCGTCCAAGGGTCGCCTGGGGCTAGGCTTGAATTGGTGGTATTGAGTTTACATTTCGCGTTTCAACTGATATGTGCTTAGTTAATTTTGGGGATTTTATTTTTATTGCTCGTGGCCGGCGAGTGCACGGTCCATCGGCCTCCCTCTTTTGTTTTTTTGGGGATATCGCTTTAGGCCGGCAAGTGCTTGGTCCCTCTTTTGTTTTGGGGGATATCGCTTTAGGCCGGCAAGTGCTCGGTCCCTCGGTTGTCCCTCTTTTGTTTTTGGGGATATCGCTTTAGGTCGGCAAGTGCACGGTCCTTCGGCTGTCCCTCTTTTATATTCTTCCTCTTTGCTTCTTTGAGCGAGGAGTGAGTATCCTTCTTTCAGGCTCCGGCCGAGGGGGTCGATAGTCCTTCGGGCGGTAAGGAGTCCTACCGGATCGTCCCATGGTCTCAGGGGGGGGTCCCGTCGCCTATTTATGACGCGGGCTAAGGCTTTTGGTCGGTTACCGACAGTTGCCGTATCTCATCCCTGAGTTGGGGGATTTTTGTCACCTCGGCCATGATTTCAGACCTGTCATCCTGCGATTTCGTGAGTGGACGACACGGTGAGCTTCCCATTTAAAGACGTGGGCTCTTTGCGGGATCCTTCGTCCTGGGGACACCGTCGACTTACCTGAGCGGCTCGCTCTAAGGGGCCGAAACGATGTGCTCTGTCGACCTTTCCTGAGCATTTTCGCTCTGAGGGGTCGATGTAATATAGTATCTTTTCCTTGAACTTTTTAGAAAAGTAAGTAGAACTCAACTTTTATTGATAAGTGGCTCGAGGCCGTGGGTGGCATTCGATCAACAACCCGTGGGAAGGTGAGGGCTTTGCCGGCTGCGCCGTCCCCGAATTATTGATAGAATTTCACCAAGTGGTGTACATTCCACGTTCGTGGTACATTAGACCCGTTCGGGTGTTTTAGTTTGTAGGTGCCGGCCTTCGTACTTGAGTGCCAGTTTGCCACCTTCCGTCGGTTTACTCGTCTCCCTTCGGCGAAGGACATAGTTCCCCACTTGGAATTCCCGGGAACGTACCTTGGCGTCATAGTATGATTTCACCTGACGCTGGTAGTTTTCTGCCCGGATGAAGGCTTGCTCTCGTCGTTCTTCGATCAGGTGGAGGTCAATCTTCATGTTTCCTTCGTTGGCCTCAGGTTCGTACTGCTCCACCCGTCGGCTGGGTATAGTGACCTCTATTGGTGCCTTTGCCTCGAAGCCATAACAAAGGGCAAAGGGGGTTTCGCCCGTCGCCCTCCTCGGCGTTGTACGGTAGCACCACATGATGTTGGGGAGTTCATCGGCCCAGCTACCTCCTGCGTCTTGGAGCTTCTTCTTCAGGCCCTCCAGAATGGTTCTATTGGCATTCTCGACCTGCCCGTTACCTTGAGGATAGGCAACGGAGGAGAAACGGTGCTTGATCCCCCACTCCTGGAGGAGCTCTTGGAAGGGTGCGGCCTCGAAGCGGGTAAGGATATTCTTGTGGACGAACCTCTGGCATCTGACCCCTGTAATGCTGGCCAAAGGTTCTACTTCGACCCACTTGGTGAAGTAGTACACGGCGACGATGATGTAGCGGTTGTTGCCAGCGGCCCTCGACAAGGGGCCGACCAGGTCAATCCCCCATCTTGAGAATGGAATCGTGGTGCTGACCGGGGCGTAGTTGACGGCTGGCCGACCAGGGGCTCTCTGAAGGACCTGGCATGCAATACATTTCCTTGCAAGATTGGCACAATCCCGCGCCATCGTCGGCCAGAAATAGCCCTAGACGACGAGACGTCGGGACATGCTGAAAGGGCCCTGATGTGAGGAGCAGACACCGCAGTGGACTTCCTCCATGGCCACTTCGGCCTCGTCTGGGTGTAGGCATCGGAGGAGAGTGCTGTTGTAAGATCTTTTGTAGAGTTTCCCATCCTCGATGGTGTAGCTTGGGGCTCTGAGTTTGGTTAGCTTGGCTCTCTCCTCGTCCTGGGGCAGCTCTCCCGAGGTGATGAAGGTTGTGATGTCTGTGATCCAGTCCTCCGGCCGATGTTGAATGCACATGACCGGGCTAACATGGATGCTGGGCATGCTTAGCTCCTCGACCTTGGCTATCTTGGAGATGTGCTCTGGAGTGTCTGTGCTGAGCTTGGAGAGGATGTCGGCCTCAGCATTCTCCGCCCTTGGGATCTGGGTGATCTCATGGGTTTCACATGCCTTGAGCAGCTCCTCGGCCGCCTGTTTGTATTGTCTCATCCTCCCCTCTTTGGACTCGTATGAGCCCTCGACCTGGCCTACGACCAGCTTGGAGGCCGACGGCGAGTCTGAGGCCGCTGAGAAGGGCCTTATACTCGGCTTCGTTGTTAGATACCCTGAAGTTGAAGCGGATGGCATAATAGGCTCTGAATCCTTCAAAGGAAATGAGGACGACGACGCCTCCACATGCTTTTGCGGCCGATGAACCGTCAGTGAAGAGAGTCCATGCTTCGTCTGGCTCTGGCCCGGGTGTGGCAGCGGCCGTCTCTCTGGCTGTGCACTCGGTGAATAAATCGGCCAAGGCCTGCCCCTTGATGGATGGCCTCGGCTTAATTTCGATCTGGAATTGGCAGAGGAAGATTTCCCATTTCACCATTCGTGAGGAACTGGTTGGGCTTCGCAAGAGTGCGCCAAGGGGTTATTGAGTTAAGACGTGTACGACATGGGCCTGGAAGTAGTACCCTAGTTTTTTCACTGTGTGGACGATGGCCAGTACCGTCTTCTCAATGGGGGAGTACCTGAGCTCGGCCTCCCGTAACGTCTTGCTTACGTAGAAAATTGCCTTCTGTACCCCCTCATCCTCGTGGATGAGCACGGAGCTTATGGCCGACGTGCTCACCTTCAAGTATAAGAAGAGGGTTTCACCGGCTTTGAGTTTAGAGAGCACGGGGGGGACGACAGGTACCGCTTCAGTTCCTCAAACGCCTGTTGGCACTCCGTCATCCATCTGAAGCCATTTGCCTTGCGCATGATCTGAAAGAAAGGGAGAGACCTTTCAGCCGATTTTGAGAGGAAACGGTTCAGGGCCGCAAGGCGTCCCGTCAGCCATTGTACCTCCTTCACGTTTTTTGGCGGCTCCATGTTGACAATGGCCTGTATCTTCTCCAGATTGATTTCAATGCCCCTTCGGCTGACCATGTAGCCGAGGAACTTGCCACCTTGGACGCCGAAGGTGCACTTCTTCGGGTTCAGGCGGAGCTGGAACTTCTTCATGATTTCCAAAATCTCCCGGAGATCGTCAACATGAGTTGTAGATTGCTTGCTCTTGACGATCATGTCGTCGACATATGCCTCCATCATCCGGTCGAGGACTGCTCTGAAGACCTTGGCTACCATCCTGGTATATGTGGCACCTGAGTTCTTGAGCCCAAAGGCCATGACGAGGTAGCAGAAAATTCTCTCCGGGGTCATGAAGGTCGTCTTCTCGGCGTCATCTTCACGCATAAATATCTGGTGGTACCCCCTGAAGGCGTCAAGGAACGACATCAACTCGCACCCCACCGTCTCGTCCACCAATCGATCAATGTTGGGGAGAGGGAACAGGTCCATGGGGCATGCCTTGTTCAACTCAGTGTAATCAACGCACATGCTAAACGTCGGCGGCTTCTGGGTAAGGACGATGATGGCCAACCAGGTGGGGTACTTCACTTCTTTGATGTGGTTGATTGAGAGGAGCATGGTAACGTCCCCCCTGACAAAGTCTCCCCTATCAGCCGAGAGGTAGCGCCGCTTCTGCTTGATTGGCGTGAAGGCGGGGTCGACTGACAGCCGGTGAGTAATCACCTTTCGGCTGATGCCAGGCATATCGCCTGCCCCCCACGCGAAAATGATTGCGTATGACCGCAGGACGTTGAGGATACCGTCGCGTTGATCCTGTGGGAGTTGTTTCCCTATTTTTAGGACCCGCTCCGGCCGGGAGGTATCTAGGGGGACCTCCTCAACCTCTTCGGCTAGCTCGGCGTGTGGTCTTTCTTCATCTTTGGTGATGGTGGCGGTGATGGTGTCTATTCTCTGCCCGGTGCTGGCTACCGGCTTCGTCAGTTTCAGGTAGCATGCCCGGGCTATCTTCCGGTTCCCCCGGGCGTAGGCGATACCGCCGCTGGTAGGGAACTTTAGGCACAGGTGCTTCATGGAGATGATGGCCTCCAGATCCTATAGTGCTGGGAGCCCCCATATCAGGTTGTGGGCGCACTCAAGGTTGACCACCATGAACTGCATGTCGATCTTGGTGCGATGGGAGCCGACGCCGACCTCCACGGGGAGGACTATCGTGCCTTCGGCGTCGATAGAGTCCCCGGCGAAGCCGGACAACGATGACCGTATCGGCTTGAGCAGCGCTTTGTCCAGCTTTACTTGCCTGAAGGTGTCAAGGTTCATGACGTTGACGGAGCTCCCCGTATCGATGTAGGTGCGGTGGATGATAGAGTCACCTATCTCACACCGGATGACGAGGGCGTCCCTGTGTGACGCGGGTCCCGGAGGCAGATCCTTGTCGGTGAAGGTGATCGCCTCCGTCCGTTGCTTCTTCGGCTGGGGGAGCGTGGGAAACTTCCCTAATGTAAAGGGATTGGGCCCATTTCTTCCTTTGGGTGGCTGAGTTCCCCTTGTATTACCCCCCACGATGAGGTTGATGTGGTTCCTCTTCGGGTGGGGCTCTTCAAAGTCTTCCTCGTCATCGCTGAGCCTGCCGATCTCTCGCTTCTTCGTAGAGGGTTCACCCCAAGCTTGCCGGTGTGTACCCACGTGGGCCACCTTTAACAAACTGGGAGAGTTCCCCCTGGCGAATCAGCTTTTCGATGGCTCGCTTCAGCGTGACGCAGTCGTCTATGTTGTGGGAGGTGTTCCTGTGATAACGGCAGTAGGTGCCGCCCTGATGGACGGCGTAGATCTCCTTGGCCGACCGAGGATCTCGTTCAATGAGATCGTGCTCCTCGGCGTAATCGAGGATGGAGCTAACCGAATGAGTGAGTGGGATCTTCGGTCTTTCCATCCTCGGCCGCCATACGCGGTCTTTGTTCTTTCCTCCAGCTCTGTGGCGGCCTTGTCCTCCCTGACCTCGGTCCCCGGCCGGTGGTGCACCCTGGGATGGCGTGGCGTTCATCTTCTTGGAGGGGTGTCCTCCGTCCTTCTTGTGGTTGTGGAGCTCATCGGCGTCAGCGTACAAATTCCTTCGCTGGAGCGCCTTTATGTAGGACCTCAGCGGGTCAGTGATGAGACTCCTCGCATATGGGGTGCTGCGGAGGGCGCCCTGAAACAGGACCAAGAGGGTGCGCTCATCGGCCCCCTCAACCTCATCGGTCTCTCTCATCCATTGGTCGATGAATGACCGGAGTGACTCGTCATGCTGATGTTTGACGAAGAGAAGATGGGTGAAATACTTCTTCGCGCGCTTTCTTCCGGCAAAGTGAGTGAGGAAGCGATGGGCAAGGTCTTGCCATGAGTCTATGCTCCCTTCGGGGAGCGCGTTGAACCACTCATACGTTGGCCCTTCAAGAGTAGAAAGGAACCAGCGGCAGAGGTATTCATCTGACGCGTTCACCATCAGCATATTGTTCTGGTAGCGGCTGAAGTGCTCCTGGGGTCGGAGCGGCCGTCATAGGGCTTGATGGTGTTTCCCGGTACTTCTCGAGGATGAGGGACGAGAGTACCCTGGCAGTGAAGGGAGTCCTCGTCCTGACTTGGACGATGGGGTCTCCTCGTCCTTCGGCCAACTCCCTCTCAAGGATGGTGACCTTGTTCAGAAGGGCGTTGAAGCCGGGATCCCTGGATGAGTTTCCCGCGGGGGTGGCGGCCAGCTGTTTGGCCTCCATCTGAGCGAGCCTTCGCTCGAGTTGGGTGATTTACCTCGTCCTTGGGGTCCTTGGCCGCCATGGTGGCGCCCTGCGTCTGCAAGCGGGCTGCGTGAGCCGTGTTGATTTGGTGGCGTGCGTCACCCTCGTGCAGCTTACCATTGCTTTTGTCCAGGCGGGGTCGATCCGCTGTCCGGGATACGGACCCCAAGCTTTCCCTTGATGAGCCAGGCTCACGTTCACCAATCCGTCCCGCCATCCTCTCCGAAGCAGGACGACGGCGCGTGTCTCCTAGCCTATTAATGGCTGAGGCTTTTCCACGCGTTGGGGCTAATCCAGCTCGAAGTGGGGAAGCAGGGTGGGAGTGGGATGACGAAGTGTCCTGGGCCACCACCCCTTCGTCGTTGCCTAGTTTGACGGTCAACGGCTGGGGCTGAGGAGGCGATGTAGTGTTCTCCCCAGTCCTCGGCATGAGTGCACTGAGGACGTTGGGGTTCTGGGCCAGGCTGGCGATGATGGCCGAGAGTGCGGCCTGGAGCTGGGGGTCAACGGCAGGAGAGGCCGGTTGCCCGGAGACGTTGTCGCCCCTTTTTGCGCACTTTTTGTCCAAGCTGTTGTGGGCGTCTGGGGCGCCGCCGTTGAGCTTGTTGCGCAGGTCAGTGGTGAGACCGATGGCTTCCTGGAAGACATCCTCGGCGGGAGCCTTGTCGGCCGTAGCGTCCTCCTCGTGTTCTCGGTTCTCTTGGGCCTCAGGGATGGCCTTGTCGAGGAGGTTGCGGTTAGACTTGGTTCTTCCCATTATCAGTTAGATGTGCTTGGTGGTGACGGAGGAGGCTAACTTGATTGTTCTAGTTCTCAATGAAAGCACCAAATGATGGAGTATTAACTCCTAGAGAGAAGTGAGAGCTTGAGAGAGAAGTGCTATAATTGCTTTGTATGAATGATTTTTGTGAACCCCCACACCTACTCTCAAAGGGAGTATTTATAGAGAAAATGTGGGCTGGGCTCCCAAGTCTTGGACTTGGGAGGCCCATCTGCAACTGGACCGCTACTGGGCCGAATACAAGATATGCAAAACTGACTAAGTATGAAATCCTGTTCTGAGAGCTTTTCGTGGCCAACGAGGGCGTGGCCGACAAGGTCACCCAGTTCTTCTGGCTTCTGGATCGAATTCTGAGTAGACTTCTTTCTGGTCGATGGAGGTCATCAGTCCGACGGGGGTCCCAGCAGGTGATCGTGGTACCTTCTGTCCTGAGTATGTGGGTACTGGGGTCCAGACTCATATGCTCCATCACCCCTCTTGTTATTGTGATATCAGGATGATAATGTCCCCTTTGCTAATTCTCTACTTAAGATAGTTGAGTTCATTTTCCCTAGATTGTCTTTGGAGAATGTCATGGCTAGAGTTTTGCTCAGAATTGGTTTGATATTCACCGGATTTAGTTATGGATTTACGATTTATGTTTGTTATGTTATTATTATTATTTTTTACTAATGTTTGTTATGTTATATGTATTTAACATGAAAAATGTAAATTATAACAAAAGTATGTATTTCTACAAACTACATTTAATTTTAATGTCATCTTTATGTGTTTTATGTTTTATGTTTACTGGAGGACCAAGAAATGAGCCTTTGTGTAGTGATGAAATGTTTGAACATAACGATGCAGACCATATATTTGTGATAATTTATTGTAGGGTGCATTTTAACAATAGATTTATTAGAAGTTGATAGTTGTATTGTAATCACTTTGTACTAATTAAACTTTGATGTTATATAACTTAATTCTTTGTAAATCATGGATTTAATTTGTGTTAATGAGATAATGGATTCTTTGACGTAAAATGTCATTTTTGTACATTTTGGAAGTATTAAGAAACAAAAGAACATAAAAATATTCAAAAACATTTGCTACTTTACAAAAGTATTATTTGCTGCGGGTGTTATATTATTTGCTGTGGTTGTAAACCGCAGCAATAAGTCATTTTTGCGTTTTTTAATTAGCTTTTTGGCTACGATTCTGAACCGCAACAAATAGGTTTTCCTACTATTTGCTGCGGTTCAGAACAGCAGCAAATAGGTAAAAATGATCGCAGCAAATAACTATTATTCTAGTAGTGTCCTAATAGCATTAATTCTCCTTATTAATGAGTGAATTAATTAAATAAAATGAAACTAATTCACAATCAGAGTAAGTGGATGTATGTACGTACACCACTTCCACTCATGATCATTTTGTTTTATTTTCTATTTTCTTTTTAATTCTAAATTATAAAGAAAAATACCAACCTCATATAATTAAAATACATCTTAATTAAGTATAATAAATCTAATTTATCACACTTAATTAATTCTATCAAATAGAACTCTCCTTCAACTTCATGAATTACATATGTTTAATCTAATTAATATTTAATCCATTTTCAGTATTACTAATTAAATATTATTTAATCCAGTTAATAATATTTAATTCATTCTAACAATTCAATCGGAAGGTATAATCACTTGTTGTGTGCCCCATATGGGCTTATATATTAAGGACTAATTAAATTAAGGTCTTACTAGAATCCCTAGACGATTTACCAGACAAATTTAATATATAAGGACGTTTGCGAGAACTATTCAAACTCCCTTGCAATATAGGGCTCATAGTGATACGGTATTTTCATTCAATGAACATTCAACTAAGTCTAGAACATGATATTGTGTCTATTCCAAAAACTTAGTTTCTGTCTCTCAATCTTTCTAGATGATCCATAACGATCATATTCGATATCCAAAACGAATATATCTTTGCATTGGCCAATGACTTTATGATCCATCTAGATATGAGAAGTAGAATGTTCTTCGTGATGCACCCAAGGTGCTTCGTGATGCACCAAACACATGACGTATCTACCCCGATTGGAGTGCAAGCGTTGGTCATGGTCAAAGTACATCACTCCGCACATGTAGTACGTATTGACCTCAAGTCGGAGGACTATTACACTACTCTATACGCCGATAATCCCATAGACACATGAATATAACTTATCAAGTGGTTTCTCGGTGGGTATGCCAATATTCTCTAAAATATCTATGTGACCATCATGAATTACAGGAACTCATAGTTGTGAGATCAACTATACTTTCTAAAAGTATGATGCAGTCCACATACCAATCTTATCGCATATCATCAATATCCCATTCTTGATGATCATTGATTGGGGCTATTTTAGGACCTTATGTTATATCATATAAGTTCCCACTTTCTTATTGACAACATAAGTTCAAGGGAACACAATTATGAATAAGTACTTAATCTCTACCGTACATAAGTCCACATACTTTCTATAAGTACTTATATCATATTGTTATTGACAATCGAAATACTTAATCATCAATGTGTAATATCCTATATATCAAATATATAAAACTGAATGTGATCAAGTACATATATCTCTAAAAAGTGATTGTCGCTAGGACATATATACTAACAGTATCCAATGGGTATTCAATTTTTAATATATATTAGCATCATTACGTCGTGCCTTATAGTAACAAATGCTAATAACTTTTCTTTAAAGAATATGAAACAAGTATAAATAAAGAAAGGAAGTATATATGTAGGTGTAAGACCAAGTCACATAGCCTAAAGTGTTGTATTGGAATATATAATGATATATCAATGAAACGGGATGAGCAAGGATATGATGCTTGGGAGGAGATATGGCACCCAAGATGAAAGCCATGGAGCATGCCATGGTGTTACTCCTATAAGGATATTACACGAGAAGCATAACATGATGCTCTCTACAAAAATAGCGCACGCTGAGCATGAGATGATGCATGCTACCAGCCCAGGGGCATAACACGCTGTGCATTTCATGATGCTATGTTTGCAAGCACATGACATGTTGAGCACGACAATGTGCTACCTTCACTTGTGCATACGGCAGGGTACTACCTTCACTTGAGCATGACATGTGTGACACTTCAAAAATTTAAATAAAAATAAAAATAATTTTTATTAGTCAGATAAAATATTACGAAAATAACATTTTTATAATTAATTGAGTCAGACAAAAATTCAACAGTGGTAACATTCTAATCAGATAAAATTTCAAAATTTACGACGTTTTAGTCCGATAAAGATATTTTAATAATAGAAACAACTTTTCATTAAATAAGCCAAACCAGACAAAAATTTAACACCTGTGACACATCTAGTCTGATAAAAATGGCCCGATAATAGAAATAACGTTTTATATCAAGTAGCAGTTATACACATGACACATACGTGATAAAAGTTATTTTAACTGGTGTACAAATATTTCCATACTTCTACGAACTCCTACGTACTTCTAAATTTATAACTAGTACTCCCTATATAATAATAATATAAAATGCTTTAGCTATTCAAACTACTCTTGTACGTACATAGCATAGTATGAACCTAGACTACAAAAGAAGCAATGTTAATAAATTTCAAACTCCCAGCCGGCCAACAAGCATCGTACGCGAATAGACTCCCTACCGGCCAAGTTATGTTGGAGATAACAACGTAGATGCAGATGAAACTGATCGGATAAACTCCAATTCTAATGCAGCCTAGAACCCTAATTATCATTATAAATATCATCCTCCGCCTGCGTTTATTTTCATTCAAAAACAAGCAGCGATGTTACCTATATATACGCATATATATACGTATATATACACCTATTTTCGACCATTTTGTTTTAGCCAACAACCAGAGCTTAAATGCTCCTAAAAACCTTCCTCTTCGTTAGAGGAATCCAACGAATCAAGAATCATTAAAAACGGTCGTCGGACGACGGAGATATCATCCGCCAGAGTGGCCGCCGGATTGCCGGAACTCACAAACATCGGAGGAAGACTTTTGTACGTGTTCCCTCTGGAGGAGGGGTGACGAGTCCGCCGCCTTCACTCACCCCAGCCGCCCCGAGTGCCGTCATCATCACCGGAGTACAATAGGAGCTGAGGTTCGCCGGACTGATACGCTCTATGCCGGAGCGAGTGCTACACGGATTGCCGTCGTCGCTGGGGGGAGAAGGAAGTCTCCAGGAGTTCTATGGAGAAGAGGAGTAACGTAGTGGCCGGAAGAGGTCGCTGCTGGGTCATCTCCGTCTTTTGCCAACGTTTTGAGTACCCACTGAGTTTGATCGACGAAGAAGACGACGTCCGTAAGTCGTACACTCGTCTGCTCTTCTTTTATTTAAGACTAGATTTTCACCCGCGCGATGCGCGGTACATAAATAAAATAATAATATTAAGCAATAATAGTTAATGTCTAAATGACATGACAAAGTATATACGTAATACACAAAAACAATTGTAATTAAGATAAATATATATACGACTCGTAATTGGTACGAATACTATTTTGGGAGAATAAGGATTAAGAAACATTATAATAGGAAATCCATACTCTACACGTTTCTAAATACTTCTTTGTAGACAACATTGGTAGTACAGTCTAGTTGTTCTCCATTTTCACCGCATATGAGTATCTTCAAACCCTTGCGATTTGTCACTCTGGATGCTGCAACATATAGTTGACCATGTGTAAAGACAGGCTTTTTCAATATAAGGCCAACATGCTTCAACGATTGACCTTGACTTTTATTTATTGTCATCGCATAAGAGGTCATCACAGGAAATTGTCTTCTTTGAAACTTGAAGGGTATTCTGGAATCTGATGGAGTCAAACTTAACCTTGGAATGACAACTTCAAGTCCTGCGTATTTCCCCCCTAGAATTTTTGCTCCAAGAATGTGATTCCCTAGACGTGTAATAATCAACCTTGTTCCATTACAAAGGCCCATAGAAGGATCAATATTCCTGAGAAGCATTACTGGAGTACCCACTTTAAGGATTAACTCGTGGTTTGGAACTCCTGATGCACGAATTTTATTGAGGAATTCAGGAGTGTGTAAGTCAGCCAAGAAATCAGAATTTGAGTCTGACTTGCAGATGCTATCAGAACTCAAATATGTCCTAGACTCTTCTTGAACATTGAGGGATGTCATGTATTCATTGATTTGATCCACAACATCCAGAGTTGGAGCTAGAATTGCACGCTCTAGCAAGTAGGCCGAATCATTGGCAATATTTTGAAAGTTAGGATATGTGCTTTCCACAATAGTGGCAATCGGATCCTCTCCACACTCTAATAGAATGTCATTTGGAATTCTGACATCAGCAAATCCATCATTGACTTCGCCCGCGATACCATCTCCTAGATCTGCAATCCACTTCGCGAACTCTACCAAATCTTCGTATTCACGATCGTCACTAAGTGATTGGAGCCGCATGTTCTTCGTCAAACGCAACACAATGCACTCATGCCAAATATATGAAGAATTAATTGTGGCATTCACTATGTCTTGTCTTGTACCCTTTGTAATGACGGGTAGAATTTGCCTAAAGTCTCCCCCGAACACCACCGTTTTCCCTCCAAATGATTTATCTCCGTTATATGAATTTGTAAATCTGAGGATGTCTCTCAAACTCCTGTCCAACGCTTCAAAACAATACTTGTGCATCATTGGTGCCTCGTCCCATATAATGAGTTTGCACCGAATTATCAACTGTGCTAATGGACTCCCTTGTTTGATGTTGCATGTGGAGTTCTCAGTCGGAT